ATGAGGGCATCTTGACTAGCGAGCACCTTGTTGGTCAGGACTCGTGCGCCGGTGCGCCTCTGTGAAGGGGTATAACGAGTGGATTGGGAAGTAGACGGCTGGACTTCAGCTTCTTCATTTCCATCTGCTGTCTGTGGATGTTCTGCAAAAGCCGGAAGTTTTGAGTTATGTTCAGTGACTCATTTATTTCCCGTAGGCCAGCTGCCACGTCCTTAATGGCAAGGATGAGGGCATCTTGACTAGCGAGCACCTTGTTGGTCAGGACTCGTGCGCCGGTGCGCCTCTGTGAAGGGGTATAACGAGTGGATTGGGAAGTAGACGGCTGGACTTCAGCTTCTTCATTTCCATGTGCTGTCTGTGGATGTCTTGCTCCTGTATTAGGTCACTCTCACCCTCACTCCTTTCTATAATGCCTCTCAAGCTTGACTGTCCTATAATTGCAGTCATTCTTTCATCGAAGGCAGACAGATCAGGTGCCCCCTGCCCTCCACCCATGTCTTTTATCCTCTGTTGAACTGAAATTCTTCTTTTGGCCTCGAACTTCATGTCAAACCACTTTTTTTTTACTTCGGCAACTGTCTGAATTTCTGGTGAAACCACATTAACGGCTTGTGTTACCGTATCCCATGCTTATTTTTTTACCTGTGCCGGTTACGCCAGTGGATACACTTTTAAATAGCAAATTCTTTCTGGCTTCCACCTCCGACAGCAAAACCTCACGTTCATTATGGTTAAAGTTATTTTTCTTTGTCTTTTGTTTCGGTGCCATAATTGTCTTTTTCTGGAAGAGTGCCGCTTTGCGGAAGCCCTTATATGGAGCTGGTTTGGGCGTGTATTATGCTAATTACTAACCTCGTGCATGCGGGCGCTCATTTAGAAGACTCCAAATTCACTAACAGAAGAACGAGTTTAAGAACAAGCTCATGTGCACGCACGTGTTGTGAATTAGCCGGAAAGTTTTCATGAGAAGGTCAAATGTGCGCATAAATACGAAAAATGTACGCAATTATTAGTGAATGAGACCCATTGTATGGGTCAACATTATTGATTTTTCTTTTATGCCAAAAATCATTAGGACATTAAGTAAAGATCATGTTCCATAAAGATATTTTGTACATTTCCTACTGTAAATATATCAAAACTTAATTTTTTATTAGTAATATGCATTGCTAAGAACTTCATTTGGACAACTTTTTGTTGATTTTCTCAATATTTAGATTTTTTTGCACCCTCAGATTCCAGATTTTCAAATAGTTGTATCTCGGCCAAATATTGTCCTATCCTAACAAACCATACATCAATGGAAAGCTTATTTATTCAGCTTTTGAGTCATAAATCTCAATTTAAAAAAATGACCCTTATGACTGGTTTTGTGGTACAGGGTCACATATATGTGTATATAAAACTATTAAAATACTAGTAGTTTCAAAGTGGCTTATTGGTGTGCAAACTTTTTTCTACCACATGCCATACTTATTAAATGGTTGTCAGCATTAAAAGATATCATTGCTTTTTTTGCAGTGCAAATTTTGTTTGTGAAGGATGAAAAAACTTTTTCGTCATTTATTTATGGATCGCTGCATTTCTAACAGAATTCTGCTTGTTCAAAATTGTATACAGTGTACAGATAAGATTAAATCCATTTGAATGCATTATTGACAGAGCAATTGCATGTGAATAAGTGCTGTACCTGTTTAAATCATGCTTTCACCCGAAAATATTCAGTATCTAGAAGGAACAAACAAATTCCTTTGAGAACTATAACTTCCTGCTCATGTCCATTACTGTCATCATAACCTTCACATTATTTCTGATTTGAGAGATCCATCTGTATCAAGCTAGCTAAATATGTTTAACATGTGAATTCTTCCAAAATATGATATTACAGTTAGGTCCATATATATTTGGACACTAACAATTGTTAGTTTGGACAACTTTGGACAATTGTTGATATTTTAGCTGTTGACCAAAACATATTCAAGTTACAGTTATATAATGATTATGAGCTTTAAAGTGCACACTCTGAGCTTTAATTTGAGGGTATGCTCTTCGAACTTGGAGGAAAGGTTAAGGAATTACAGCCCTTTAATATGTACCTCCCTCTTTTTTCAAGGGACCAAAAGTAATTGGACAATTGACTCTCAAGCTGTTTCATGGACAGGCGTGGGCTATTCTTTCATTATTTCTACATCAATTTAGAAGGTAAAAGGTCTGTAGTTTATTCTAAGTGAGCCATTTGCATTTGGAAGCTGTTGCTGTGAACCCACATCATGCGGTCAAATGAGCTCTCCATACAAGTAAAGCAGACAATTGTTAGGCTTCAAAAACAAAAGAAATCCATCAGAGAGATAGCAGGAACATTTGGAGTGGCCAAGTCAACAGTTTGGTACATTCTGAGAAAAAAAGAATGCATTAGTGAGCTCAGCAACATAAAAAGGCATGGACATCCATGGAGGATAACAGTGGTGGATGATCAGAGGATCCTCTCCATGGTAAAGAAAAACCCTTTCACAACATCCAGCCAAGAGAAGAACACTCTCCAAGAGGTAGATATGTCACTGTCAAAGTCTACAATCAAGAGAAGACTATAGAGAGCAAATACAGAGGCTTCACCACAAGGTGCAAACAAGGCTAGATTAGACTTTGCCAAAAAGCATCTAAAAAAGTCAGACCACTTCTGGAAAAGCATTCTTTGGGCAGATGAAGCTAAGATCAACCTGTACCAGAATGACGGGAAGAAAAAAGTATGGCGAAGGCTTGGAACAGCTCATGATCCAATGCCTACAACTTCATCTGTGAAACATGGTGGAGCAGTGTGATGACATGAGCATGCATGGCTTCCAGTGGCACTGGTTACTGGTGTTTAGTGGTGATGTGTCAGAGGACAGAAGCAGCCGGAAGAATTCTGAAATGTATAGGAATATACTGTCTGCCCAGATCCAGTCAAATGCAGTAAAGTTGATTGGAAAGCGCTTCATAGTACAAATGGACAATGACCCAAAACATACAGCAAAAACAATCAAGGAGTTTTTGACAAAACAATCACAAAGTATTTATTTATTTATTTTTTTAATTTGCATGTTGAAATAGGAATTATTCAATTTCCCGGTCAAACCCCACATATTCGAAGACTAAACCAAAAAAGGTAAATTAGAGATTCCTGTTAATGATCTGCTTTTAGACTCCATGCAGAAGAGGCATCAACGGAACGCAAAAAAGAAAGCAGAAATGGAGAAGAAGAGAAGAAGAAGTGACCGGACAAGAGACGATGGACATGCTCTTGATGGCTAAGGAGCTTCTTCGGATAATTCGTCAACATGAACGCATAAATAAACGGTTGATGAAAAGGGTTGAACAATTTATTGAAGTTAATGAGTTTAATTTGAAAATGGAAACTTTGCGAAGTGAGGTTGACTGTTTGAGGATTCAAAGAGCCAGCGCCACTTCTAAGAGTATAAACGGTTAAACTGACATCCTGTCAAAAAACGAGAGCAGGTGTCACTATCTGGGTTAACAGTTAAAAAATGGAAAATGTTAAGGTGTGAAAACCTGCTCGTATATTTTTGCAAAGGTGTTGCTGCATTGTAGTAAAGTAGATGCATAGTTGTGGGTAGTATAAAAAGGTCAGACATCCTGTGTTAGTGAATCGGAAATAAACTTTGTTTGAACCTCTCCGCATATATTTTTGGAGATGTACGCACGTGTGTATGCTGTGCTTAGTGTGATGATGTAATGGAATTGCAACTCTCTGAAACAAGGGGTGTGACCAAGTGTTTCGTGTGTCTTGCACTTCTCCAATGGAGTGTCGAATAGATGCTTTGCAGGAGAGGAATGGTGTAACGCCCTCTCCTATATAATCAAGCGCTTTATGATTTTGTGGGGCCGAGAAACGGGTGAAGATTACACACTGTTATTTTCTTGAATTTTGCTTATGAGTTATTGTTTTTAATAAAGCGAAACCATTTGGATATGGTGATTCGATAAACTTTCTTTTAATCAAGTCTCTGAGTAATTTATTAAGGGTAACACATTATCTGAATTTAGTTCATAAATCTCCAGTGCGGACCTCATAGTGGTGAAAACCCTGCTGAGCCGGTCAGGACGTTTCGCCGTGGACCTTGGACCTTGGACCTCGCATTACACTTCCCATTAATGAGAGGTAAGGGCTGTATTTGCTTATGACAGCTACAGGTGACGGACAAAGTGTATATATGAGGTTTATTGGTTCATTAAGTACGGAATTTATACAACAATGTTTAAAATAGACACTTTACAGTTTTGAATGATGTCTTACTTTTATCTGTATGACCAAGAATGATTAAATAATTTAAGGTCTGTGTGTGGTTATCAGGAAAAAAATGCAACTGAACACGTTGCCACATTTGCCGACATTAGAAGGTTAAACTCTTTTTACACCATCCCTGATGGGAGTGGTCAATGTTCCTATCCATTCCTATCCAATTGCAGACCTATGGGAAATTTAGGAGCAGCATGTTAGGCAGTGCACTCCAGTACCATCATCAATCATCAAATGCTAGAATGGAGTTTCATCCCTCCAGTAGAGTTCCAGAGACTTGTAGTATCAATGCCAAGGTATCTTGTAGCTGTTCTGGTGGCACATGGGGTCCCGGCATTGTATTGTACTGAGAGACTTTATGGTGTTTACCCATCTGTATATATGGAAACGGTGTATGTGACATACCTAAGATTCCCTAATATTGTTTTAACCTAATTTTGTTTTTATTGTGTTTTCATAGAATGTGAATTGTAGACTAAGAGGACATAAGTCATGTCTGAGAAACCGACTCAATCTATATTTTCCATGTACACTAATTTGAAGGAAAACAATTGTTACAAAGGTAGTTTTCCAAAAAGTGAAATGTTTAAATTAAAATCCAGACATGGATGCTACTACACAGTCAGACATATTTGGTTTAAAATGTTCATCAGTGGATAGTTCAGTATTATCTGCAAATGACAGGAACTTGACAGAAACGTGCTATAAAAAGAAACCATTACATAATTATCTTACATATATTTTTCAAGGTTGAAAAACAGAGCTAGAGCTTTGAGAAGACATATTTGCAAGTCAGTTTACAGTTGTTTGTGTGGAGTCTGACAAAGAGACACTGAAGAATCATAAATACCAAGTCCACCATAGACTGGTTCAGTGAACATAGTGTTGAATGTGTGTAAGTGTGTGAGTGTGTGTGTTTCAGAAACACTGTAGAAGGACAGAGTGCCGGCCGACCAGTCCAGATACACTCCTACTTTATTAGAGGGAGGCGACGGTGGAGAAATGTAAATGACCTCATTGTTGTGCCAGGCACTGAATCTATTAAAGGAGTAGTCCAGACTCCAAGACTTCTCATTGCATCCAAACAGACAGTCATCACTCTCTCCTTTTCTGCTGATTCCTTTATACGCCACTGATATAAAAGCACCTCTACCGCTCCATTCAGCCTCCCAGTAACAGCGTTCAGACAGACTCTCTCGACAGAGAACCTGTGAACATCTATCAAATCTGTCTAAATGATAAGGATAGGGCTGTGGTTCTTTCATATATGTCACCTTCCTGTTCTCTTCAGACAAAGATAAACAAATGTCTGCTGTGTTTGGATCCAGTGAGAGATCACAGTCATCTGAACACAAGAACAGTGATTAGCATCTAAAATTACATGTGAATGTGTGTCTGTAAAAAAGACATTAGCAAAGAGTACCTACATTTCCACAGTCCTGGTGTGATTCTGAAGTGTTCATTATGGTCCAGACTAAAGGAACACAAATAATGAAACCAAAGGGTCATAATTAGTTGATATATCTATCTATCTATCTATCTAACAGCACCATACAGTGCCTCAGCTGATACCATGGAGATGATGCTTTTCTGGTGTGGAGTGCACATGCAAAAATACTGCAGAGAGATATTGTTACTTTGTAAAACTGCATGGAAAAGCCAGAGGAGACTAAAGTAAATTTCATGTGCAATTTAAGTTACTCTATGAAAATAATTAATTAAAAATGCATCATAACCCAATAGTTATGGTTTTACAACATTAATGTGGCTAATATGATCACCCTAGTCCTTAAACTGTACATTTAAATTAAATTATGATTGACATACTTGAGTTTTTGCAGTGTGCAATTTGGATCATTGCGTCTCTCAGAGAGCAGCTTGACTCCTGAATCCCCTGGGTGATTGTAGCTCAGATCTAGCTCTTTCAGGTGTGATGTTGTTGATCTCAGTGCTGAAGCCAGATAACAACAGCCGACCTCTGTCACCATACAGCCAGATAATCTACAAACAGAAAGTAATTTGATTTTGGATTGTGTACCAGTATTTTCCCTTTGGTTTGGTTATGAGCTCTTATTGCCTGGACCCTGATGTTGTAACTTGCTTTAGAATTGATATTGGTGTTCAGCCTTGAGTATGCTTTTGAAACCACAAAAATTATTGTTTTCAAACACTTCTAAGCACCTCAGTATCTCCAGGTGACAGTTTGTAGTCTTCAGTGCATGAGAGATCAGCTTTACACCTGAATCCTGCAGGTCATTGTTACTTAAGTCCAGCACTCTCAGCAGGGAATTTGATGACTGCAGAGCTGAAGTTACAATTTCACAGCACTGACCAGTGAGATTAGAGTCAGCAAGACTGAAAGAGAATGAAATACAAATTTAGGAGGGAACAAAATTGTTTCAATAATTAAAGACCAAGCTCCTACTGTCACGTGTATGTTCCTGTTGAGTTCCTGTTTTCCTTATTTGGTCCTTCCAGTTCCTTTTCACATTATTAGTATCACCTGTTCCTTGTTATTAGTTATCCCCATCACCTGTCTGCCCCTTGTTACCTACCCTATTTAATTCTAGCCCGTTCTGTTCTCCCTTGTCTGGAATTGTATGTTGATGTCTTCTCCTCGTGCTACGTGTGATTCCCTGTGACAAGAATAAATCCCTTTGTTTTTTACTCCTGGTCTCCTCGTTCCTCGTTCCGCGCTCCTCACACTACCACCGACCGTGACAGAATCCCAGACCAAAAAGTGACAGTAAGCAGCACCCCTTTTACCCGTGTTTGATTTTCAGTTTTTGAATAGTGTTTTTGTTTTGTTTTTCCATTCGTTTCTCCCCGTCCGAATGGAGGACCGAGCGATGTTAATCTGTTCCAGATCGGGATAAACTACCATCGTCCCGCGGAGCTCCCAGACACCACCAACCTCGGCTGGAAGGAGGGAGTCATCCGGTGTCTGGAGAGTTTCTGATCCCGATCCGGGACCCATCTGCCGGCCGTTCCTGAGTCAAGTAAGACGGCCGTTCCTCAGGCAAGACCGCCGGACGTTAATGTGGCAAGCCCGCCAGACAATAATATGGCAAGCCCATTGAACATTAATATGGCAAGCCCGACATACGTTCATGAGGCCCCAATGTCGGTTCCAGCCCGAGTGCCTGCTCCTCGTAAGCGCCTTCCAGAGCTCCCTCCAGTGTCTGCTCCAGTCCCAAGACTCACTCCAGTGCCAGCTCCTCAGAAGCGCTTTGCTGTGCCTGCTCCTCCAGAGCACCCTCTAGTGCCAGCACCACGTCAGCACTACCCTGATCCCCAGTTCAGACCAGAAAGGGCTCCTGTTCCCGAGTATAGCCCACGGAGGGCTCCTGATCCCCAGTTCAGCCCAGTAAGTGCTCCTGTTCCCGAGTGTGGCCCACGGAGGGCTCTGGATCCCCAGTTCAGCCCAGGAAGGGCTCTGGATCCCCAGTTCAGCCCAGGAAGGGCTCCTGTCCCCGAGGAGAGCCCACGGAGGGCTCCTGATTTCCCGTTAAGCCCAGGAAGGGCTCCTGATTTCCCGTTAAGCCCAGGGAGGGCTCCTGATTCCCCATTAAGCCCACGGAGGGCTCCTGATTCCCCGGCTCCACCATGGCAACCTGAGTCCCCTGTTCCGCCATGGCCTCCTGAGCCCCCTGATCCGCCATGGCAACCTGAGCCCCCTGTTCCGCCAGGGCCTCCGGAGCCCCCTGATCCGCCATGGCAACCCGAGTCCCCTTTTCCGCCATGGCCTCCTGAGTCCCCTGTTCCGCCATGGCCTCCTGAGCCCCCTGATCCGCCATGGCAACCCGAGTCCCCTGTTTTTGTATTTTATCATCACTACTATTTATCTTGGATCTATGACGGAGCCTGTGGGTCTTCCCTCAAAGGATTTTAACCCTCTGGGGTCGAAGCCCGCACCAGTGCATTCTGTCTTATATTTTCTTGATGACTGTGAAATTAACTAAAAATACTATTATTTTTTATCATACAGATAAGAATAAGGTATCGTTTGAAACTGCAAAGGGTCTACTTTTATTTGTGTATAGTCATTATAACAACAAAAGAGTGTGCTTTTGTAAAATAAACAGGGTGCACTCTCTGCCGCCTCGGTCTCTGTCACCTCTCTTCACAGGTACGTAAATAAAACAGCCTGAATTTCAGCGAATACTTGCCTCAAAGACACAAGAAATATATGTATAGAAAGCTTGAAATGCCTACTTTTAAATTAAGTCTACTGAAGTCTGCCTACTTTTTAAATTAAATGAAGTCACGTCCAAAACAAATATTCTCTGATAAAGTAATCCATATGAAACCAACGCTATGTCCAGTTTTTCCTGTCTCAACTCATTATCTCTAATGCGATCACGCCCACGAGTTGATCACGCTCTTCAAATTCTAAAGATCCATGTGAGACGCGCGACATGTAAACGCCCACACCACCCCTGTAAACAAATGTGAAGAGTTCATCCTGGCTACTTTCTGTTTCTCGTAGAAGACATGCTGAGAAGAATAACCCAGAATTTACCTCAGAAGAAGAACACAACGCGATGCGCCGCGCCGATTTATCCAGTGGAGGACATCATTCTGATGAGTAGCCTAAGATTACTTGCATCTGTTGTTATTGTGTACACATTTTACTAGTTAGACTTTTCCCAAACTATAATTCCTGACTACATGTATGAAATATGTCATTTCATTGTTTCATTGGAGTAAATGATAATGAGCGACACCTGCGCCACTCACTGGTCTCAAGTCCCACGGAGGAGCTCCGGAAGGATAAAAGGAGGAGTGATGACAGTGAAGGACGAGAGAGGACCAGGCCTGGATTTTATGTTGTTGTTTTATCCGACAGTCGTTTGTGAAGGGCTGCCGCTTTTACTTTCGTTTTGTGTTTGTTTATTTATTAAAGTTTTGTGTTTGAATGTTCGCCGGTTCCCGCCTCCTTCCCGATTCATGAACTTTGTTACATTGGTGCCGAAACCCGGGAGGAAGGAGGGACACCCTGTCAGAGAGCCCTCGCTGCTGAGGGGAGTCGCGGTGCTGAGGAGATCGGGCAGCAGGAAGAAGCAGAGACCGCCAATGGCTGCCTGAGGCGGTGGTGCTGGAGCAATGGAAGACGTGGTGGGATGGAGGCCTCGCTGCCATGCTCCTGGGTCGAGGAGGGGTGGCTGCCATTCGAGAGGGAGTGGAGGAGTCGGCGCTGTTCACCAAGAGGCCGGAGCCTGCTGCCGTCCTCCATGTTTGGGGAGGAGCAGGGAACGGGGGACTCGCTGCCGGCTGCCCTCGACCGGAGTAGCCATCGCCATCCGCCAGGAGGCGGAGGAGCGTCGGGCCGTCCACCAAAGATGTCCAGTACCATCGAATGGCACCGCGAGTGAGAGCCTCTCAGCTGGTTGAGGACCAAGCGACAGTGTGTCCGGGAACCAGACCGAGAAGTTTTTTTTTTCTTTTCCTCTGTCCCCTCTCTCGTCTGTCTCTCCTCATCCTTCCGTCTCCTTTTCTCTCGCCTTGTCTATGCCGCGGCCACCGTGATCGGCTCCCCCCAGAGAGGGAGGGGGAGTAGAGTGCAGTCTCGGGAGTACCCCGGCCTGCAAAGGGGCGCTGTGAGTATGTGACGAGTGGGGCGGGGCCGAGAGCCGTGGGAACGGAGCGAGGCCGGTGGAGTAAAGGAAAATGAGCAACACCTGCGCCACTCACCGGTCTTGAGTCCCACGGAGGAGCTCCGGAAGGATAAAAGGAGGAGTAACAACAGTGAAGGATGAGAGAGTGTTTGTGTTTGAATGTTCGCCGGTTCCCGTCTCCTCCTTCCTGATCTACGAACTTTGTTACAAACATATAAAACCTCAATATATAAAAGTAGTACGAGTGTTAACACTATGATATTAGAGTCTATGAATGTTTGGCACAAAGATGTGTTACTGTTCAAGTCTCAGTGTTAACCTTCACTGTGTATATTTTTATTATACTGTGTTGTAAATAAAATACAAATAATAATGAAAATACAAATATTCCAAAACCCAAATTATTTTACTCTCCTCTTTCCTACCTGCCTCAGTCACTTTTATATTGATAGCCCATTATGGGAGGCCCTTTGTCTCTCAGGTGTGAATCACTAAATATTCATGGCCATTGTCACTCCATCGCATATGCCTTTCTAACACAAATCATGTCTTACAAAAGTTAAATCAATATATTGTTTTCAGTGAATAGGACAATTTTCACATCCTTTTGTAGCAAAAACTCCTGTCTACCACATCCAGTTCTCAAAAGTCTTGTGAACAAATATTCTGTATGTGTTTTATGGCCTTATTTCAGTGACTTAAAATTTTAGTTTTTCACTTACCACTGGAACACAACAACTTTGTTTTCTCAAAAACACGAATATGTACATTCACGCTGCTCACATATTATTGTAGCCCAGTAAAACTATGTAAAACTCATTAATGAGCATGTTTGGAACAATGTACAAGTTTCATAGCTCTGTCAGAGCACAACGGATACGCTGGCCCTCATTGTTTCAAAGCCCAGACACCAAACTGATGAAGGCCAACTTCAGCTAACAGCTAACTAACACATAAATTCTGCATCTGTAGTCCCAAAAAAGGCTCATCACTGGTCAAAGTCTACAAGTCAGCTTGGTGGTTCACAGGCTTTACAGTAGGTAGGCAACAAAATGCCTATTACTGCTGTGTGTACAACCCAGTCACATGTGAAAATCTTTCACAAAATCACCACCAGGTGGTGCAAAGGGACAGTTGACACCATTGCTCAATAAAGATTCAAATGTGGCATTTCCACTTGTAAACAAAGATTAAAATAATGAAATAAATCAGTAGTAATAATTATAACAAAAATAAAGCATTATAACATTTGATCTCAAATTATTCATCATATAAATGTGTAATGTTAAGTGAAGTGGGGCCAAGTATGGTGTCCCATACTCAGAATTTGTGCTCTGCATTTAACCCATCCAAGTGCACACACACAGCAGTGAACACACCCGGAGCAGTGGGGGGTTTGGTGCTTTGCTCAATGGTCTCACCTCAGTTGTGGTATTGAAGGTGGAGAGAGCACTGGTTATTCACTTCCCCCACCTACAATTCCTGCCGGACCTGAGACTCAAACCTGCGACCTTCGGGTAACAAGTCCAACTCTCTATCCATTAGGCCACGACATTTTGTCCATGAGTCGATGAACTACACTAGCCTGCCACCGGCTGGCGAGAGTATCCGCTTGCAGTCGGGGCGGAATTAAAAGCGGAGATGTCAAGTCGGACACTTTCTGCTCCCGGTAGTGATGCTCTCGCAGTGTTTGCATACTCCCATCACAGATGAAGTTAATTAAATGCAATATTTGTC